TTTCGTTGATTGTTTACCTGGTCTGAATTGAATTTTGAAATCGAAACTTCCTAATGTCTCCGCCCACCTAGCCTGTCTTCGAGTAAGTTCTTTAGTGGTCATCAATGACTGCAGATTTTTGTGGTCAGTGTACACTACAACATTCAAGCGGTTAGGATTCCCCTCCAGATATTGACGCCATTCTTTAAAGGATGCCACCACTGCCAGTAGCTCTTTGTCGAATATCTCGTAATTACGTTCCGCTTGGATCAGCGACCGGGAAAGAAAGGCAACAGGGTGTAGTTCGTTATCGTCGTCGGATATTTGCGAAAGCACCGCACCTAGTGCATAATCAGAACAGTCACATTCAAGTACAAACGGTTTGTATGGGTCAGCAATCTTCAAAACTGGAGCTGTTGTAAAAGATTTCTTCAGACCGTCAAAGGCGGCTTGGCACTCAGGTGTCCAGCTGAACTTGGTGTCCTTTTGCGATAATGCGTGGAGAGGTCGTGCAACTTTTGAGAACTGGTCTATGAATCTTCTATAAAAGTTCGCAAATCCAATGAAAGTTTGAGCTTCAGACAAATTTCGTGGTGTTGGCCATTCCGTTACCGCCTTGACTTTTGCTTCTTCCATCTTGATTTGGTTTCTTGAAATAATTAAACCTAAGTATGACACTTCCTCCTGACTGAATTTACACTTCTCAGGCTTCAACCATACATTTTGAGCTTTAAGTATGTCTAAGACTTCCTTCACTACGGCTTCATGGTCAACTCCTGGTTGCGTATAAATTAAGATATCGTCCTGGTATGCAGCCACGTCTCTTCCAATATGATTCTTTAAGATGTCTTGGATGAAATACTGGAAAAATCCTGGCGCCCCCGTTGGTCCGAATGGCATGGTTAGTGGTTCGAACTGTCCACGTTTACATATGAAGGCCAGTTTTGCTTTGTCGCCTTCACGTACTCGTAAGTTATTGTAGCCATTGCGCATATCTAGACTTGTGAATTGATCCGCATTCAATAGGCTATCAATGAGCTCCATTGTCAGCGGGAGTGGGTACTTATTCTTCACGGTTACAGCGTTGAGTTTTTGGTAATCAAAGCACGGTCTTAAATTACCATCCTTCTTTCCCGTAAACAGAACTGGAGCTGCCCACGGGGAGGTAGTTTGTCGAATTGTGCCATTCTTGAGTCCTTTGTCCAACATCTCGTCAAGAACTAAACTTTCCTTTGGTGATAACGGGATTACACGTCCCGCTTGAGGCCTTGCTCCAGGTAGTAAATCAACTCTGAAATCATACGGCCTGTGGGGTGGAAGCACATTAGACCTATTCTTTTCAAACATGTCTAGATAACCATGATAAGCTTTTGGAACTAATTTGAATGCTGTTTTCTCAATTTGGTCTTTCACTTGCTGCGCAGCCGGTTTAGCTGACACATTCCATGAGGCTTTTGCAGTATCAACTTGGCTTGCTCCTGGTCGTGCCAGTGAGATGTACTTGCTGCTATATCGTGTGGTTCGAGTGGCTCGTAGCTTGGGCCTTGATATTGTGCCGGGAGGTTTGTTCTGTAGAAGGTGTGTCTGCTGGCTCATCTGATTTCGTTTAACGCTTTGAGAAGGACTAAAAGACTCACTCTGCGGGGGTATACATGAGACGCTTGCGCGCTCTACCCCCTTGTCACAGTTCCTAACTTGCCTCTTTGGCTCCAACTCGTGGTTCTCCAAGGCTTTGATCGGATTGGACAAAGTTACACTTGGTATAACTGCAGGTGATTCAACGTATCTTGATGGGGTGTTCTCGATGTCACAGAGTTCTAAGTGATGTAAAGGCTTGCTGACTGCTTCCTTGGAACTTTTAGATATATGCGAGAAATACTCACATTGCGGGGGCATGAATGAGTCATCTACGAACTCTACCCCCTCGTCACAGTTCCTAGCATGCCTTTTGGGCTCCATTTCTTGGTCCTTTAAGGCTGGTTTCGGACTTGACGACGTTAACAGAGTAACGGCAACTTCGTGGTTGGTTTTCACTTGACATGAATTCCAATCGATCCTTGGGTGGTTTCTTCTTATCCACGGCATACCCAATATTGCGTCGTATTTGTCGCGTAGGTTGGTTACAATGAATGTGGTAATGCTTGAGTCATTAAGAACATGGTAGTCTCCCATATGCGTCACTTTGGATTTGTGTCCGCTGAATCCTGTGACGCTATGAGAATGCGGCAAAGGGAGAGTGTAGAGATGATGTTTCTCTACAAAGCTTGTACTTATCACTTCGTGCGTTGCTCCGCTGTCAACCAGGGCACGCGCGAATACTGTTGTGTCAGAGTAGGGGTCGTGGATAGGAATTTGAGTTATCATGCGAGTATCATTCATTTCAAGACTACTAATATCACCCAATTCCAAACCCCATTTGACATCGCTTGGGGTTGGCACAACTAACAATCCCGAGCTTCGCCATTTTTTGACGACTCAGCTCTTCCCTCCTCATTCCCATCATTCTTTCCTTCAAGTTCAGCTATTCTTGCTTTCAGTTTTGCAACTTCATTAAATCTAGAATTTCCAAAGACCTTCTTCTTCAACATCGGACACTCAGCAATGAGATGATCCTTTCCTCCACATTTGTAACACGACCACGTAGCACCTCTTCGTTTATATTCATCAGACGATATGTTTAGTCGGTATGCAGAACAATCCATGGCATCAGGGTCTCGAGCAGGGGTTGGGGCAGTCGGGTTTGAGTTTCCAGCACTGAAACTACCAATATCCTTGACACGTTTGTTGATCTTGTTGTCAAGTTTGATCGCCATTTGAGCCATTTCTTCAACTTTTTCAAATTCGTCTCGGATCATGTATACAGATATTTCTGTTTTAAGGCCTTGCTCGAATTGAGATTTTAAGACTGACTCAGGCCACTTAACTACCAGCGCTAGTTCAGCAAATTTGATCCAGTAATCGGACACAGATTGAGTTTGTGATAATGCACGAAGTTCGCGTTCAGCCTTGGCTACCCTTTCCGTATCAAAGAAAGTCGCTTTAAAAGAGGTAGTGAAAGATTTCCAGGTAACTAAATGAGCCTGGTCTTCGTTTAGGATTTGATCCGTTAACGATTGACTCCAAATGCTTGCTTTGCCAGTCATATACGACATCGCAAAAATGACTCGTGACTTTTCATCTGCAAACGAGCTCGCATTCATCTGCATATAAAGATTCAGTTGATTTAAAAAAACTTCGGCTTTGGTCCTTTAGACCCGTCAAATTTATCCGGAGTAGCTACTTTCGGAGGCTTTACATGCAATACTACAGGGATGCTCGGATGAGGGTTCGACGATACAGGAGCTTGAGGGTGCGTTTGAGTCGAGTTTCTCAACTCCTCTAATTGCATAAGCCTTTGTTCTGCTAAGCGTTCAGCGTTCTGGCGGCGAATAGCTTCCTCCTGACGGAGTCGAGCTTCTTTGTTGAGCCTGTTGTTCAGTTCGTTGATTTGTCGCATGACTTTGTCAAGGTTTACGTTTGACATGTTGTCTTCGACTGTATCTTCGAAGTTCAGCCCTGCGGAGGATGGGCTTCCAGGTAGTGTGAATTCCGGCGTTGTGACTAAGTTATGTGGGTTGCGGATGTAGATCGGTTCAACCAATTTTAAACTTTATTTGATACTGATTGCTTGGTTGTGGGGATACTTTAATTTAAACTTTAAACTTCTTGTAAATCTAGATCTTGAATTTCTTTTTTCTTTTAAAACTTCTCGGACTTGAGTCGACTTTCTTTCTTCTTCTTTACTCGTTTTCGATTCTTGAACTCTTGGATCTCGAAATAGACGTTGCAATATGTTAGGACTGGGCGTGAGTTGGTGAGATGCAAGAGTGTAGTAAGGTCCCCTTCCTAGTAGATATGGATTGCAACGTGAGGAAAGACAGAAGTCTGTCCACCAGGATCCCAAGTATACGGTGGTTCTGGTACAAGCATATTGTCTAAGTATAAGGCTATGGCTCATAACACTAATCACCTGAACACAACCAAAAGGTGAATTGAATGAATCTGAGAGAAAATGAATCTTTTTTGGACAATTCAAAAAAGTCTACAATGATCACATGTATGTGAGCATCAATTTTGGCCCCTGTGATTGGCGTGAAAATGAAACTTCTGGATACAATTGGTGTTGTCAACTGAGCTTTACTGAAGAATTCTCGGGCTACTTGTGTATCAGGCGTAAGAGTTGGGTCGGCTTCTGTGGTCGTAGTATAATGTATGAGATGACAAAGGAAAGATAGTTTGTAGCGTTCTATTGGGTGTGTCAATGTCTTCTCCTTTGGGTACCCAATTGTAACAAAGTGGACAAGGTGCTGGCGGGGATTTGGCAGGTTCAGATGGTTGCAATTTTCTTAAGATGGCGTCAGGTTTGGCAATGAAGTTGGATGGCAAATTGAATGACATAAGATTGGCAGTCAAGTTGTGGTTTGCAATGTTCAAGGTGTCAAGAATGTCAAGGTTGTCGAGAAAAAGAGAAATAAGGTTTAAGAGAACTGGATAAAAAAGTGTAAGGTTCTCAATAAGGGAACCTTCACTAGGACTCTTGGAGACTTCTCACAGTGGATTTAACCACTGGAAACTTATCTAGGACTCGTTTTGCATTACAAGTTAGCTAGCTAGCTCCAGTCGGGGTTCGTGAAGAGAAGAGAACCCAATGTGGAGCCAGGGCTAAGTGAGAGTAAGCAGAATCCTTCCTAGCCAGAACCACCATAACACAGGTGGTTTGATTGTCCATGATCAGGGCTTGCACGAGACGTGAAAGTTCAGGCTGTGAAAGGCCACTTGCTCAGAATGTTGAGAAACTCTGGCGCAATACAGCGTGGCACTTTTTCACCACCTGAATTGTCACTCTCAGACGGATCGATACATCCGTCAGCAAGCCCTTGCAAGAGATCACCTCGACTAACCTCTCACGCTACCAAAACACGGTAGCTCGATTCTTTGCGCTGAGAAAATCATTGAAGTTATATATTTCTTAAAGATTAAACATGACTTCAGGAACGGCATTAGAACAAGCGATGAAACAAGCCGCCCAACGGGCTGCACAATTAACCTGGACACGATCAAGATCAGTCGCTCTTGGACAGCTTCCAGGTCCTCCCCTAGCCACGCCACAAAGGAACACCAATGGTCCCCCAATTTCCGGACATCAATGAACCTGAATTTCAAACCTGCAAGGGGAGGACGAGCTTGACGGAGTACCTCTGGAAGACAACGAGCTAGAGGAGTTAATGGACGACACCGCGATGGTCTTGCAAGGCCCCCTCATCGGTTCCAACAATGATGACGGAGTTTCCTGGCGCCCATCCGCCGATAAGGGGAAAGAACGAGCCCTCAGTCCAACAAGCCCGACTCCATCTAGGGAGGGTGATCAATACACAGATCGGTTCTCCGAGCCAGGTAAGCTTTCTGTTCTCAAAACAACCTCCCACTTTCTTTTCTTCCCCTCTCTCTCTCTCCACCCACTACTAGAACCCAAGAGATCCAAGACAAAGGAGAAAGAATCATCGTGATCAGGGGGCCAGAGGCCCAGGAACCTGTTTTGAGAAACCCAAGATCCCCATGTGGGGGGGGGTAGACGAGAAAATGCCTCCAAGATACCCTTAAGGGGTGGAGTACACTCCAAGAACCCTATGGGAGAGAGGGGGAGTCAGCGACGAAGATCAAAATCATGCCAAGTTTTGAAGAAAGATATCTGATAATGTGAACTCTCTTACCTAACGTTTGTTCAGCTCAAGAGACAATCTTCCCGGCGGCAAACCAAAGCCTGAACGACAGGGTAGACCAGCTACATGCTGATGGCCGTTACTCCGAAGCCAAGGCTCTGCAGGCATACATCGAGAACCAGTCCGCCGAAAGCACCAGAGGTGAGAACGGCGAAAGAATTCCGGCCGCAGGCGGTAGTGGTCTCCCAAACGTACGCCCGTACACCCTGGTAGCTGAGGAGCTGTCATCAAACACCGAGAGCAGTGTGACCGTACCATTAGCTGGTCAGATCAGACAGGAGGTAGTAGCACAACCACGCCCTACCCACCTCAACCCCCTCCCGGCTCGAACCCAGAACCATGCGCTCTACTCGACACATATTGCACCTGGCCCGACTCAGACCTCCAGGCCGGCTCCGAAGTTCACCTCGGCTCCTCTAGGACCCACAGGTTTAGCACCCCCCCTCTACCAACATCACGAAGCGCCGTTGCGGGCACAACCGGCACCAGTTTACGCTCCAGCACAGACCATCACGATGTCTTGCAAACTCCCAACCCAGCGGAGGTTTGAAGAGACACCTTACGTCAACAGATCGGAACTAATCCCCCAACTGACTCAAGAGGATATTGACGAGGCTGAGCAGGTGAAAGTGCTGATGGCGGCAAAGAAGGGCTGGATGGTTCTAAGGAACGGGGATGTAGTTGAGAACGGACGGTTGTTAGTGGCAGATACAACAGAGGAGATGGAAAAAGGCCTACCTCAACTGTCCCCGGTTTTAACGCATTGGCTTAAAACTTTTAAATCATACATTCCCCTTACCGCTTTTGATAAGTACTTTCTGATGGACGACCAAACGGAGTGGAGTAGGAGAAAGGCTCCAACAGAGTCGGAGATAGATGATGGCAGTGCTTCCCTCCGAGTTTACGGTGGCCAACCTCCTCCCGATGAATTGACAATGCAATTCGAGGAGTGGATAGACTGTATAGGCCTGTACATCAAATATGTGGAGGAGGCAGGTTGGCAGACACTGTCAGAACGGTTTGCGGGTCACAAGAACGTGGTGATAGGCTTACGAGATGATTTCGGGTGGATGGTATCCCTTCGCTACTGTGTACGGATCCGACTGGGAGTGATGCTGGAAACAATCGACAATCGAATCCGCAATTTCAGCAAACTCCAGACTGCCATTTTTGAGGCAGCGAGGATCCAAGCCGACACCCAGCATGAACGGGCCTATCGGACAAACCCTTACGCAGGAGGAGGCCCCCTGGCCCACTTGAACCCATCGTCCGGCCTCCCCAAATCATCTACGCTCGCATCAACCGCGAAGAAAACCACTTACGACACGGTGTATCAGAAAGCAGTGACGACAACGCCCTCCTACTCACAACCATCCACACAGGGCACTTGGATTCCTTTGGCACAATGGAGAACCATGTCGACTGAGCAAAGACAAGTCGCAATGATGGGGAGAGAAGGCAGGTTGAATTACCGTCGTTGGGAGGATGATTGTGGAAGGTACAAGGAGTCTTACAGAGAGTGTGACAGAAACGGAGGAAGAGAACACTACAGGAGAGATGATCGGTCGAAGTACCGCAGGAGAAGCTCGTTGCGTAGTCGTAGCCCAAGGGGATCAAAGGGGAAAGGTCGCAACAACAGACAGTAAGCCCTACCAAAACTTGATGTAATGAAATCAAAGTTCCTCCCTCAGTTATGGAAGAAATCACGCCTTATGTGCTACAGTCCATAGACGTAGCCCAAACCCCTGAGAGTGAGACATGTGAGAATTGATTGACTTACCAAAAGGAATCACCTATGTACACCCAACTTTTCGCCAATGCCCACAGATCCACAATAGACCCAAATTCGAGTCCAAAAGAACAGCTGAGAAGTTCGCCAAAATGGCCATCGCACGTCAAATGCAAAATGAATTTGCAGGTGTGGGAGAGAGAATTGCTGAGTTGTGGTCTACTATCAAAGTATACAAGGATCCTTAAAGGCCTACGCGATGGTTTTGACCAAGGTGTACGGAACACCTTTGTACCAGGGGTGCGATACTTTTGCCCTCCTAACCACCCATCGGCGTTGGCAGCAAAGGAGAAGATCCTCGAGAATTTTAGGATCGAACTGGAAGCTGGTCAAATGGCGGGGCCGTTTTCTAAGGAGGAAGCCTTCGAGAAGCTAGGATTTTTCCGGACCAGTCTGATCGGAGCAGTAGTAAACGGAAATGGCTCAACTCGTCCAATAAACGACTTGTCCTTCCCTAGAAACAAACCAGGGATAAGATCAGTGAATGCAGAAGTCGATAAAGATGACTTCAGTACAACGTGGGACAATTTCAAAATAGTAGCAGAGTTCCTCACGTCATATAAAGGTCGAGTTCTGTTGGCGATCTTCGACTGGGCAAAGGCGTACCGTCAGGTGCCAACGGCTCCAGGACAGTGGAGGTTTCTGATGATACTAACATTCGACGACGAAGTCCTCCTGGATACTAGGATTACGTTCGGGGGGGTTGCCGGTTGCGGAGTATTTGGCCAAGTCGCGGATACTCGGAAGGCAATCATGTTAGCTAGATTCCCACTCCTGGCGGTGTTCCGCTGGGTGGATGATACAATGTTTGTGAAAGCGGTAGATGAGCCTTCACCGTTTACGTTGACAGACATATCAAAATTAAGTACTGAAATGGGGGTAGTTGAGAACGTGGAGAAGAGGAATGACTTCAATGTCGAGCAACATTACCTTGGATTCATTTGGAATGGTGACGATAAAACGGTCCAACTACCACAAGAAAAGATAGATGCCAGGATAGAGGAGATCAGGAATTTCTTACAATCTAAATCTCACAAGTTTAAAGACGTACAAAGCCTGGCAGGTAGACTCAACCACACATCGATGGTCTTTCCGCAGATGAGCTGCTACTGCGTAGATATTTATCGCTCCACAGCATAATGGGTTCACAAGTCAGCAACACACAACATACCAGAACCCGTGAGGGAAGACTTACTCTTTTGGTTGGAAGTCCTCAGTTCAGCGATACCTCGACGTCTCATCCCAAAGCCAAGTTTAGTAAACGTTGGATGGGTAGGAGACGCATCCACGTCTTACGGAATTGGGATAATATTGGGAAAGAGGTGGTCAAAGTTTAAGTTGAGGCGGGGATGGGAATGGACCGGGGAAGGCAAAAACCGGGGGATCACGTGGGCGGAAACAGTAGCTGCACGTTTGGGCTACATTATCCTGAGAAGACTGAGAAAGGTACAGGGCGAGCGGTTCCTGATGCTGACTGACAATACCGTGACAGAACACGCCATCAGAAACGGGAAATCGCGAGATCGCCAGGTAAATTTGGAGTGGAGAAAACTACAGGACCTATTGATCAGGGATCAATCGTGTATCGAGGTTCGCCGAGTGTCATCGGAGGATAACGCCGCAGATAGACTATCACGGGGCTTTGATTCTTCCAAACACGTATCAAACATGGTTGAAATTGAAATCCCGCAAGACCTCCGACACCGCATCGTCCAAGAACGTTAGAAAGAGCACCTGGAAAACCAGCCGACTGAGTCAGACCAAACCAGTAACATCGAACAATCGTAAATGGCAGACCTACCAACAAACCTACCGAGTCACTTCAGAGACGCAGCACAGGGAGCCTCGAGAGCAGGACGTCATGCTGCATCAGGGAGTTGGGCGAAAACAACACTCGCAGGTTACAGCGCTGGAATGAGCAAGTTTATAGAATTTAAAGATAAGACTTCAGCTGGCTTCAACGCAGACGAACCAATTTCAGATACCGACGTATACAACTTCATAGCATGGGCAGGGGAATCAGGGGAAGACGGACCTAAGAAACCCATCGGATCCACGACAGTAAAGAAGTATCTTGACGGTATACGTGCATGGAACATTGTCCGACACACGGCAATACCGACAGCACACCCAGCCGTTGTAAAGACCCTCCTGGCAGCTACGAAACGTTGGGAAGAAGAAAAGGAATTAGTAACAATCAAAAACCCCATCATGATACGGCAACTGTTCAAATTATTAGAGGAGACGTACAGAGGAACAGAGACGGAACAGTTGGCGGGAACAGTAGGCTTAGTAGCCTTCTGGGGGATGGTGCGGCTAGGTGAACTCTTGCAAACAACCTTCAAAAGCGGGGCGATCTTGAGACGACATGTAGAGTTTGGATCTAAGAAAGGAACATTGTTCGTGAAGCTACAGCTGCGGAAGGCCAAGACGGCAGCACCGGGCAAGATACAAGAAATACACCTTCAGCAACAAATGAACGTCCTCGACCCGGTGGCCGCAATTAAACGTTGGATGGCAAGACAGCCAAATCAGAGCCCAGATAGTTTCCTATTCACAGCTCGAGAGCGAGGGGAAGTTAGACCGTTGACCAAGACATGGTTCGTGAATGCTGTGGAGAAAATTTGGGGGAAATCGAGCGTTGGAACCTGGAGTGGCCACTCTTTCTGGGTTGGTGGTGCTTCGCTACGTTTCAATCTAGGTACACTAATGGAGAAGATCGCCAAGCAGGGTAGATGGTTGTCGTTGACATACCTACGGTATTTGAAGGCATATAGTCAGGAGGATGTTGAAGATACCGAACAGTTTCTATTAGCAATTCACAATGCAGATTGGAAGAATAAAACAGATTATTAATCATTTGTCGCACTCACACATTGGAAAAAAGAAAAGAAAAGAAAAAGGGGAGGAGAGAATTGAGACAATAACTTGAGAGACCAGACACCACGTGTGAGAAGTGAGAGCAGTGAACAAGGAATCGAAACCTTATTTCCAGACCAATTCAGTAGAGAAGTAAGTGGCGTCAGAATGAGATCGACGTAGATGCGAGAGTTCAGAAGGCGATAGAAGACGCCAGGAGCCCAGGCGCCTGATGTGCGTGTTGGGGTGTGCCTGGTAGGCTCAGGATGCACAAACACGCTCCTGAGAACGGGAGACCAAGGCACACACACACGACAGGCACACCAGGCGCACTGACAGACCAAGGGGGGTGGGGGGGTCTGAGATGGAGAACTCACGCCGGGGCCAACTTGGTGGTTGGAAACCAGGGTTGGTTTTCGAAAACCAAGCAGGCCCAGGCCGGGCCTTCACTACCCCAACCCGCGCTCTCTTGACTAACTCAGTAAAGAGACCGCTCATGGGTCGGATGTACGTAACACGTGTGCTTGTAAGAGCACAAAGAGGTTTTAACCAGAGTACTCTGGTTAAAACAAGACAAACTCAGCCTACCCAAACTCACTCAACGCGCATTGAGGAGAATGGATGTCTAAAGCCATACTATATGTATCCTTACAACTATGAAGAGCCTGACCACCTAAGAACACAATGACTAGTGCACTGAAATCTATATAATGTAACTGTAGTGAAAATTTAAATTGACTGACCTCAAACGTCTTGATAAGCGCAGCCAGTGGCTTGGGAACCCCAGGGTACCCAGCTACAAGAAGCTTTGACGCCTGGAAATTCATCTGAAACTCCTCCAGATATTGCAACAGCGCGGCCCCTTTCAAGCGCTGTCTCGCCACCACATTGATTAAAGATCCATCAAAATACACCTGTCCTCCACACCAAGATTCCAATGCACTTGAGGGCAAGGGGTTGCCTTTGTCTGCAAAGAAGCTTGCTTGCCAAGGCTTGATGGATATCCCCGCTTGTTGAAGACTCCTGAACATTGTGCCACCGTCCGCAGGAGCATCAAAACTTATTTCTGACTCTTTGGTGACAGTCCAAACGTGCATCACAAGTAAAATCATGTTCTTCCAAAGGGGAACACGTGTGGAATTTGCCCAGGTAGTTGAAATAGGAATTGCAATTCCCCCCAAGAAACAAAGGTCAGGGATCTTCTGACCAGCAGAGCGTAAGTCTGCCGCAATTTTAACAGAAACAGAGTCAATAATCAAATCATTGCAGCTCTTTGACCTCTTCAAGATCTCCAAAAATACCAGAGCCAAAGAACCCAGCAAGGAACAATATGTCTTGTACCACAGGCTGGTTGACAACCAGTACTTCAACTGCTCTGTTGTCGACTAGATCAGTTTTGGAACCCCAGAGTGCCAGAGCCTCATTTGTTGGGTCGCACCACCATGAGGTAGACTTGGGATTGTGTGACATGGCACTCAAACAGCTGGATGTGTGTGATCGGAGTACATACGGAGGTGCACCAGTGTCTTCAAGTGATAGCCATAGGGCATCTTGGACTCGGTCAAATTCATCATCATCATCATAGAGACCTTGATAGAAATGATATCAGTATTGAAAAGCAGAGAGATGGAATAATCTGATGATGTGGAACATACTTGAGCTTTCACTGACAGTTTTGTATTTTTTTCCAGAATCCTTTTGAATTTCTTGCTTTTCGTCAAGGTACTGCTTTTCAAGAAGATAATTTTCCAAAGTGAGGCCCATGGTATAAGCAGTTATAACATCCACTTCATGTTGTGTAGCCGTTTGCAAGTATATTACCGGGGTGAAAATTGGTGTAATGACATATTTTGGTGTTGGGCCCTGGTGAGACCTGCGGTTGGCCATCACATTGACATGTTCTTGAACCTGGTCATGCGACATGTGATCTTTGCCAATGCCCAATGAAATGTACTGGTTGGAAAAGGCCAGTGGAACGAGAAAAATATCTTACTGATTGCACAAATCTACTGAGGAAAATATCATACGCTGGGCAAAGGTTGAGATATCTGCCCAGGCTTCCCTAGCAAACCCTGATGTCCAATTGTGTTCCAAAAGGTTGACCGTGGTGTAGTGTGTCTTGACTCCTTGTGTATGTGCAAGTTTAAAAGGCGCTGTTGCAATGAAGAGCTGTCCGGTGACGTTGAATGTACAAGCATTGTGACTGGAAAATCAGCCTGGAATTGCTCAAGCGCCTCCACGTGTGCCGCTGGAACCAACCTTCTTGGCTTCTGAGCTGCTCAATTGGCGACGGCGTCCCCAATCAGAGGATTCTAACTCGCCAGCAAGATTGGCTGCTTGAGTGTCAGGTGGATACATAGTTTCTAAGTGTGATTGTGTCAAAGAGGTGTAGTTGGTAGCTTGAGTGTCAGGTGGACACATACTTGCTAAGCGGGATTGAGTCAATGATGGGTGATTCATTTGCGGCAGCTCAATGTAAGTATCTGATGTTCAAGGACGTTTAGAGGCAAGGCTTGATCCTAAAAGCAATGAATGACCCGCTTTACGCCTCGGAAAGGGGGGCTGAACCGTAGAGCTTGAAGGCCTATTAGCACAACATGGTCCGCAGATGGGAGGTGATCCAGTGAGTTGCGGATAGCCAATTGTAAAGGAGTCACAGTGGACCAGAGTCATGTTGGTGGTTTCGCGTGCGGCAATGCAGTAACCACAGAATGTAGTTTGTAGACCAGGAACCAGGCAGCTGCAAGATGAGCAATCTAGCTTTCTGGGCGGGGGTGGGTCCCAAGTGTTAATGATGTGAGGTGTTGAGGTATTCATTATTCAAAAGGAGGTGAAACTATCTGTCAAAAAGAATTATTCAAATTTCCAATGTTCTTATGAGGGGGGAGGATTAGATGAAAGTTTTTGTCTCCACAACATAATTTTCATCAAGGTACTGGGTTGACAAGTAAATTCTGTTCCGTAAGGGGAAGAATAGTTTTAAGGAGTAGTTGTGAAATATTGTGTGCAGCTTAAAGGGGATTCAGTATTTCATAACCATTACCTGTTTGGCCTTTTAAGGCAGAGAGAACATTGTGAATTCACTGCTTTTGTTGCTTTCAAAGTTTCTTTTGGAGAAAGTCAGTGTTCTACGTCAAGAATTTGTTGTGGTAAAAGAGATGAATTGGTCAAGTACATCACAAGTTAGAAGTGTAGATATGGTGTGAAGGAAGAGAAAGGTTTGGTTTCAAGAATGTAGAAGACTGAATCACCTCAAGATGAATTGACTCAGTACAGAACAGTCCGCTTCAAGACAGCAGGAAACTTATCACTCAAAGAAGTAATATGGCTTATGTTTAATCATCTCCCCTTTGGGATGTTTGTGCAGTGTTGTTTCCTGTTCTCCGTGATAGTTCTCCTTTGGCACAGAAGTTTCTCAATATATTGTAGTTCACGTTATCCAGTTGTGTAGTTCAATATTTTTCTTTTGTGTCTGATTGAGTCTTATATACCTTGTCTCTCTCTTGCTCTGAGTTTTGTTCCTCACCGTTAGGAACATGTTAAACTCAGAGTAAGTTTTTCCTTCTAGGCATTGCTTACTTGTTATTGGCCTGGACACAGCTCACTTCTCTCTACGTAGTCTCTTTCATTCTTCCTGCCCTACCGCAGGTAAGAGCGTGATCTTTTCTGCCGAGTCTACCTTGTTGAGTTCACATAGAGCTTTACTTATTTCACCTGTCTGTCCAGGTTGCATTTCATAGCTCGTGTTGCGTACATTATTCAATATGCATCAAACTCTTTCCGAATTCTGGTATACCTTTTGAAGAGCTTGGTCTTCTGTCTGACCCGGAGTACATTGCAAGAGTGTAGGAATTGTGAAAATAAAAAAAACACTTTGGATATTGATTGGTGGCGCAAACAAAGACTTGACTTTGCGCTGAGTTCCATGAATGAGGGACACATTAGAACAGACGTTAGCATATGCTGATACCGAGAGGAAGACTCTGAGACTGAAATTTTCCCCCGCAAGTTGGTCTAAGAAAATCCTTCCTCTCACAGTCTCTTGGTCTCTCAAGTCTGACAAACTAACGCTAGTCAAGTACTCATATCAATTCATAAAATATCAATCCTTGTGTTTTATCTTAAGTTCTTTCATAAATATCAAAGCCTAACATACAACAGATTCAACCACAGATACCCCTCAAAAATTTGATAATCCAAGAAAGGAAAAGAACTACGGTTACTTTTGCACAAGAATTAGAAGAGTCCAGGAGACTGGCAGAACTTGCTCTGACCAATGGGGACTCAAAACCCAGAACAAGAAGTAGGTTGAGAAACCAAAACAACAGCCAAGACGAGGTTGAAGACGTCGACGACGATGAGAATGAACCCCCCAGAGGTGAAGAATACTACGATGATGACGTCGTCCTAATCAATAATCCAGAGGATGATCCAGAGGACGAATTTGACCAAGACGGACTAGAGAGCGATGAAGTCCTACGTGACGGAAATCACAACTGAAACATAGCAACACCCTGCGGATATCTAGCTCTGGGGACTGTAAGGCTTCCTAGAGATTCACTGGAAGAGGAAAACACAGGAGGAGCACCGGTGATAGGAGTAGGAAGAGACACAATTAATGGTGAGTATCACTCAGTTTGATATCAGGAATATCAAGAAAAAAGTCACCTTTCCGTCACCAAGAGTCCAAAAACCCCTCATCACAACAAACTTCCCCTGGTTTTATAATTTTGTCCAACAAACCCAATCACATTTTGTTATCTCTCCATCTATTTAATTCATTCATAACACCTAACCCTATTAAAGAAGTAAACCCGTTGAAGATGATGTTGAAGAGTCCATCACACCAAGAGTTTAGATGTTGAAGTGTTCATCTAGAGGATAGAAGTCCCATTCAAAAAGACAATGTTTGACGTGTCCATCAAGCCAAAGAAAGAGATGTTGATGTGTCCATCTAGAGAGGACAAATCTGATGTGGAAGTGACCATCACAAACCACTCATGAACTCAACATGACCAACCAGCTGAAGCTGTGAACCAGAGGCTGATAAGATCATGCATAGAAAAGTCATTGTTAGCTTAAATAGATTTATTAGACACCCATCACATATCCAATGCTGTTCATAACACAATTCCACAAGCAGAATAAGAACAGGACTAACACCATGCCTTCCACGGCTTGCGATAGATGCTCAGACAGAAAGCCAAAACAGCTGGTGGAGGACCATCGTAAACGCTTTTGACAACAAAGACGTAATGCTTGGTAGAACGATGCTAGCCGCCTTCAGAGCAATGCACGGCAAGATCCCTTTTGACCCTGAAGCCAAAAGATGCAGAAGAATGGAGTGTGACGTTGAGATCAACCACGGCAAAGGAAGGAGACCACGGACAGAATCTCTCATACTAGACAAAGAATCAGACGAACCTGTCAGACCGTCAAAAAGACCTGCCAAGACTAAGAGAGCCATTCATTGTCCTACCCAAGGCACATCCATGATGACTAACAGAACCAAAAACACCAAGACACCAGCCAAGCGGAAAAAGAAAGAACTGCCAGCTGAGTCCCCAGCAGAAGAGGAAGACTTGTTGGACCCCAAAAAAGAAGTAACCTTTGTAGACAACATGGAACTATTGAATAATCACCTTCTCAAACTATCCAATGGTTTTCATCAGAGAATGACATAGTTAAAAGCCTATGTACCTCTGACCGTATTTAACGCAGATTGGATAGACAAAGATGTAGAGAAGGCAGGTCTAAAGAAGGTCAAGACCGTTAAAGAACTCCAGGAAGGAGATGACGTTCCCACCTACTTGGGTCTAACCCCTAAAGACAAACTGCTCCTAACCTACGGAGAGTGGATGGACTGTATAGACCTGTTCATACAATACATAGATGAATTCTATCATATGGAAAGAACCACCGAGATGTTTTGAAAGCACAAGAGTAACGTAATCGACATTAGACATTCCACTTCCTGTTGGATGATTGCTCTTCAATACTGCATCAAAGTGAGAAAATTAGTCATGCAAAATAGAACCAAAGGCGGAAAACAAATGAGCAACGTCGGGATCTTACATCAGGACATCCTACAAGTTGCAAAAGATAAAGCGGAAGCCTGTGGAGAAAGAAGTCATGCCGAGAATCCATATGCAACAGCCAATAGTGAGGCAGACCCATTGTCGTCCAGAGATAAACCTTTTGTGAAAAAGGAACCAAATTCTGACGGACAAAACAACGGAAGCTGGAAAGAAAATTTTGGTGGAAGAGGAAATAACCACAACAAGAGGAACCAAATCAGCAACAACAACAACATCAACAAGAGTAAGCGTAACTGGAAAATTGACTATGGTATGAGCGGAAATCCTTACGTTCAGAGTCAAAATCACCACACTAGCCATCACGCTAGCCTGCATCAGAAAGGGAGTCTGTGTAGTGGTGGATACCCTACAAACACCTTCACTTATCAACCACCATTCCCATACGTGTCAGAGTACGGAAACACCTACCATACCAGCTACAACCGAGCAAACACGGCAGCCGGTCCTAGCAAACAACCAAATAGTGCCAAAACCATACGGAGGAAACCAAGGAGGAGCTCTAGCTATAGTGAGTAGACAAAATGGAGGGGGGAAGCAAACCTAGTAAGGCCCAAGTCAAAATGAATATTCCTCATTACAAAAATTGCCTTCTCTCTGAACTTATCATTAAAATCATCCCTCAGGGAAGTCATGTTTCTTGTATTCACATATATAATCAGACCAATGACCCTTCCAGATCTTTAATTTCAATTCTCAAATTGATTTCAAAATTTTCATTTTTTATTTTTTGCTTCTCCTTTTTTTTTCTATCTACAGTACACTTTAATTTGTACCTCCTGTCTCTATCTGTCTAAACCGTCACAGTTGATGTGTTAATTGTAGAACAGAAAAATGAGTGAAGAGAAACAGTGGATAACGGAGAGACACCACCAACATATTTACCTCGGATTTTGTAATCCGAGGTATCCTCGGATGCAAAACCTCGGACAGAAGCTTCCCGAGGTAATTCTCAGGGCAAAAAATACCTCGGGCAAAAACCTTGGACAAGGTCTGTCCGAGGATTTGCCTCTGATGATGCCTCGGATTTCTCAACCCAAGGCATCTATGCTGGCAGTGAGACGAGCAAGAATTGATACTCACATGATTTCATCCCTATTCCAATCATTTCCCCAAAAATGCCAGAGAGAGTGTCAAACAAGCAGAAGTCACAGAACCAAACAAGAATGAGTACAAGGGAAACCAGGAAAGTACTCCTGATGTAGAGGTGCAGGAGAGAAACCTTGAGACAAGCACAAGAATAACAAACACGCCAGATCTAGAAACCACAAGACGTGAGTCATACAGATAGATCTCGAATCATCAGGAGGCAGACCCATTACAAGGAAAGTTTTCATTGACCGACTCAAGGGCCTCTGGGGAAAGAGCGGTGTGAAGGTAGGCGTCTGGTCTGGACACTCCTTCAGAGTAGGCGGTGTGTCGCTGAAATGGAACCTAGGCTGGGAAAAGGAAAAGATAATGCGCCGAGGTCAATCGCAGCCCCCAACTACTGGTCACTGGCAGGCCAGTACATCCGATGTCTCCAAAATGTTTTCAACAAAACTTCAATTTGTTTTCAGCATAGCATCCATCTGCTAT